GAGAGAGAGAGAGAGAGAGAGAGAGAGAGAGAGAGAGAGAGAGAGAGCAAGCACTGTAGGAAAACCCCAAGACTTTGTTCTGAACAATGATTTTTTTTTAATATACAACTTAAAAAATCTCAAGCAAAATTAGCAAGGGAAGAAGAATGGAATTACTTCAAACTACACTCTACAAAGTTAAGGAAACAGCACAATGAGGAAATGACCAATGCAATGAGGAAAATGTAAACCACATACTTGAAAGAGGACCATTATATGAAATACATCAGAAACAACTCAGTATTAATCTAATTAAACTTGATCAAAGAACACAAACAGATACTTCTCAAAAAGGATCTAAAAATGGCCAACACACACACACACACACACACACACACGTTTAACATCACTAACCATCAAAGAAATGCAGATTCAAAACATAGTGAGATTCGACCTTGTTCCTACTCTTAGATGGCTCTTATAGAAAAGGTGAAAGAAGTTCTGGTGACAGGTAGAAGCTTGAGTCAGTGTGCTACTAGAGACAGCAACATGTCCACCAGCTCTAAATGGATAAAGACTTTGTGGCCTGCATGCACATAGAATGCTGTTTTTTTTTTTTTCAAATAAAGAGAAGCCTGTCATTTTTTAACAGTATGGATAAGCCTGAAGGATGTAATGTTGGCTGAAATAAGCAGGTCACAGACAAGTGACATACAATGTCATGTACACGTGGAGTATAAAAGAGTTGAAATCAAATAGAAAATAGAATGGGTGTTATCAGACTCTGGGGGTGAAGGAAGATGTTTAGAAATATTCTGGCTGAAAGATACAAAATTTTAATTACAAGGAATAAGTTCAACAGATCCGTCACATGACACAGTGACTGTAGTTAACAGCAATGCATTGTATGCTTGAAAACTACTACTATGGTAGATTTTAAGCATTCTCCCTCAAAAAAAGAAAAAAGGGAACCATATGAGTAAAATATATGTTACTTAGTTCCATATAACCATTCTATAATGCATCATTTCAAAACATGCTTTAAACAATAAATGCGTGCAGTTTTATTTATTGACACAAAAGTAAATAAATTTTAAGAGAGCCCTACCTGGGAGCAATATCCAAGGCGTTGATAAGTTGTCCACAGAAGGAAAAGCTAAGTGTTGAGTTGGCAAGTGTCAGGAAAATGACAGTGCTGTAGAAGTTGTAGCTCAGGTAGAGCAGGCACATGATGAAGATCACAGGACAGAAAATCCCTGCAGAGAGATCCAGACCATACAGCTAGGAGCTTCTGCACAGGAGGCTGAAGGATTCCCCAAGCGTTTGTCTGTCCTGGCTGTTCCTTACCTAGTGTGGTGAAGAGTTTCCGGACGGTAACTATGCTGAAAATCTTCCTGGACAGAAAGAAGTCTGACATCTGACCTGCTACGTTACCACAGATGTAGGCAAGCAGATAGGGGAGGCTGGACAGCATCCCATTCTGAGGAGGAAACATCATTCTGAGTGCATAAGATGGAGAAGCAGTCCTGGACAGTCAGTGTTTCCACTGAAATTCAATAACTAATGTGTACTCTGGACTTGAGGATATGACTCTGTGATAGAGTTCTTGTTGGTCATGTACAACATGCTAGGATCAGTCCCTAGTCTCGTGTAATTAATGAATGAATCAAGCATGTACATTAATACAGGAAACCATCGAGGTATACAACAGGACTGTGTCTGGGACCACAAATTCCAATACAAAGATAAACATAGTTTTGAGGTTAAAGAATTGTCATCATCTTCTATAGATTTTTGTTTTGTTTTGTTTTTAGTATCTGGAAAACTTCAAGAGAAGACTGCTGAGAACAGAAAGTGTCTGTCCTGAGGAAAATGATAGAGATGATATAGATAATTGATGACAGACAATTGCAAGATTGCTCTAACTGGCCATGATAAACTCGAGGAATGTCTCCATGGTTTCATTAAGATGAAGTTGAATCAGTGAGAGCAGGTGCAAGCACAGCACTATGGTGGCCACTAGCCTGAGGAAGTCTGGGAGCCCAGACTTCATTTTAGTCTTTTTTGGATACTTCAATATCAAATGATGGAAGGTTTCTAGCATAACTGATTCTCAATGTTAGACGAGCAATGGGAGTGCTTTCAGAGTAAGACCCAAAGCCCAGGGGTTGTGGCTTTAGTCGGAGACAATGAGTTGACAAGAGCAGGGCACAGTGGCAGGCACTGGCTCAGTAACTGCTATTATCCCTCTGAAGGGAATGATACTGTAGATCTTTCCTCCTCCCCCTTCTCCCCCTCTTCCCCCTCCTCCCCCTCCTCCCCCCCCTTATCATCCTCCTCCTTTTCCTCCTCCTCCTTCTC